AGGACGTAGGTGCACGGACCAGTACCCCCACCCCGCTGACGTGCAGCGTACCACTCACGGAGCTGCTGAGGGGGGGGGATGTCACGAGTGCGCTGCTGCTGCTGCTGCTGCTGCTGCTGGCGCTGACCACCACTGGAGCCGACCCTCTGCGTAGCACCACCCCGACCCGCTCCACCTCCTCCGCCGCCGCCTCCTCCACCGCCGCCACCTCCGCTCCCACCGCCACCGCCGCCGCCGCCTCCGCCTCCACTGCCGCCACCGACCCCTCCACCCCCGCCACCACCCCCTCCGGCACTCCCACCCCCTCCACCGCCTCCACCGCCGCCTCCACCGCCCCCGCTAGCTCCTCCAGTGCCCCTGCCCCCCTTGCCCTTGCCAGGGCGGCGTCTCCCGCTAGGGGTAGACGCCGCACCGACCGACTCAAGCCCAACGAGGTCGGCCGCAGCAGCAGAGGCAACAGAGGGCAAAAGGGGGGAGGGGGAACACCCCTCAAAGACGGGGGTGCGAGGGTCACCACGAGAGGCTCCTACAGCTACTATGCTCTTTTCTGCTGCTAGGAGGGCCTTCTCGAGGAGATCAACGGTGAGAGTGGTGGGGCAAACTGAGAGGAAGTGGTCCCTGACTACGCGAAGGGAGTCAGGGAGCCGGGTGACTATGTAGTAGAGGGTGATGTACATGGGGGGGGGGGTTCTTGCCGCAGAACTCAGCAGGAAGGGCAGCGCGGTAGCGAGTGTCACTAGTGCGGAGGTGCGTAATGAGGTCAGCGACTGTGGGAAAGGCAGCAAGGTCAGGGAAGAGGTACGGTAGCATGAGGCGGCTCAGTGCAGCAGTGGCAGGGGAGGAGTAGCGCGCAACGACAGCGTCGTACAAGGTGTGAGCACTCTTGTACTGGCTAAAGTGTGCGCGCTCAGAGGTAGGCAGGTGGCGACGCACAGCAAGACGTGCAGCAGCATCGCGCGTGGCCCACTATGAGCGAACAGTGGCGTCAGCATCAGCAGCGGGGGCAGGGGAGGCACCAGAAGTGAGGTCAAAGAGGGAGAGGCCGTCTGCTCTGTCGCACTGTAAGAAAAGTTGCAGGTCATCTATCCAGACGTCAAAGTCAATGGCCCGACCCTCAGCGTCAAAAGCGAGGACACTAGGGGTAGCCATGACAGCAGTAGACTAGCAGCGCAAACAGTAGGGTGAGGGCAGTGCTGTGAAAGAGGCGCTGCTCTTACCGGACAGGGCGGCTCGGGTGGCTCGGTTGCAGGGCGGCTCGGCGGCTCGGCTGCTCGGCGGCTCGGCTGCAGGGCGGCTCGGCGGCACGGCTGCTGGGCGGCTCGGCGGCTCGGCTGCTGGGCGGCTCGGCGGCTCGGCTGCTGGGCGGCTCGGCGGCTCGGCTTCTGGGCGGCTCGGCTGCCGGGCGGCTCGGGTGGCTCGGCTGCAGGGCGGCTCGGTGGCGTGGCTGCTGGGCGGCTCGGCGGCTCGGCTGCTTTGCAGTTCAGCAGCTCTGTTGCTGGGCAGCTTGGCGGCTCGGCTGCTGGGCAGCTCGGCGGCGCGGCTGTTGGGCGGCTCGGCTGCTGGGCGGCTCGGCTGCTGAGCGGCTCGGCGGGGCCGCTGAGATGGCTGCGTCCGGGGCCGCTGGGAGGAGGCGGCGGGGCCACTGAGAAGAGGCGGCGGGGGGCGCAATCACGGTAGCAGCGGTGGCGGCGGCGGCGGCTGTCTCAGCAGTAGCCGCGGCAGCTGTGACGACAGCAGTGGCGGCAGCCGCCACGGTAGCAGCGGCGTCAGCGATCACGGCAGCAGCGGAGGCGGCAGCAGCAGCACGCGCTACTGCAGCCGCGAGAGGGCGGCGACGAGGCCGCGAGGAGCGGCTGCAGGGCCGCGACGGGCTGCGACGCAGCCGTTAAGGGCGGCGGGGGGGTCCGCGAACGACGGCGACGGGGCCGCGAGAGGGAGGGCCGTAAGGGGGGCCGCTGAGGGCGGCGCGACGGGCTGTTCAGGGCGGCGCGACGGGCCGCTAGGGGGCGGCGACGGGGTCGCTAGGGGCCGTGAGAGAGGGTGGGCCGCCAAGGGCGGCGCGACGGGTCGCTAAGGGGAGAGCGGCACACAGGGCGCGCCTCGGGCTGGGGCGACTCGATCTCCGGGCAGGTAAAAAAAAAAATTCAGTTGGTGGGCCCTAGGAACAGTTCCCACAGGGGAACCTGCTCTATACCATGTGAAATAAACAAGGAATGAATGACTAAGGGAAAGTTGGGGTACAAATACAAACCCTAGGAAAACTATACCCCATATGTGCTACCCCACTATAGCCTACAGTATCTATGTCATATAAATCTGACACAATGGTCATCGGAGTTGGAAACATCTGGTTAAGCGACAAGACGGCAGCATTAACACGTTGTTGAAGATTTGCTGGTTGGTAAGCACCTTGATATTGGTAAGGTCCAGTCGGAACGAAGTTAGACTGTTGTCCCGGTTGACTTGAAGAACCAGGGACTGCAGCTGCAGCTGTTGAGGCTGCTGATGCTGCTGTCGCGGCGGCTGCTGTCGATGATGCCGCTGCTGTAGTTGTGTGTACGGGCTGACTGCTCAATGGCATGCCGTACATCGGTTGTTGCTGATATTGTTGTTGTTGTTGCTGCAGATGTGAATTATCAGCAGCTGGAGACGCAGTTGGGCGTGATAGGCTCGTAACAGAAGAGCCATTGTTGGACCTTGGAGATCCAGACATAGTTGTAGAATAGGCAGATGGAAGCTGTTTTAATCCTAAGTTGCTCTCATACCATGTTAGAATCTGAACTGTTTGAATAGGATCGTAGTCTTAGGATAGTAGCTTCCTGTAGCAGTGGAAGTCTTTTATATGAGTGACTTGTAACAGGATCAAAGGTCTCTGAAATCAAGTATATTATAAAATGACAAGCATACAGAATATATAACTAGACTAAAGTACCTGTTCGCCTACTGTGCTGTATTTATTCGCGCTATTCCTGTTCTGAAAAGGTACGTGACTATTCGCGATACCTACAGCTATTGATGACGCCATCCTAAGGCGCGTAGCGCTTTGCTGACGTCAGTCTATCGGTACTTTTACTGTACTAACTATACGAATTCCTTGAAGTGCATAAGTCTCGACATTATCTCAACAGAAATCATGTCACGAAAAAACTAGATTGAAGTTGTTAGAATTTGAAAAGACTGAATAGGATCGATACTTAGGATGGTAGCTTCCTGTTGCAGTGGAAGTCTTTGTATGAGTTAAAGCCAATGTAGGAGGCTTTGTATGGGCTAGTATGTAAAGCCCATGTAGTGATACGTTTCAGGATCGATATATCTGAAATCAAGTATATTAAAAAATGAAAAGCATACAGAATATATAGCTAGAGTAAAGTACCTATTCGCCTACTGTACTGTGTTATTCACGCTATTCCTGTTATGAAACGGTACGTGACTATTCGCGAGGCCTACAACTACTTGCTGACTTCATCCTAGGGCGCGTAGCGCTTTGCTGACGTCATCCTATCGGTACTTTACTATTACGTGCGAAGTCTCGCACTGTACTAACTGTACTACACGAATTCCTTGAAGTGCTTAAGTCTCGATATTATCTCAACAGAAGTTATGCATGAATTAAGCCTGGTTTGACAAGCCTTGAATATATTTGTGATTATTGAGATGATTGAAATGGGAAACGTGATGGACATAGAATATACACGCAAGCATAATCATGTTAATATATCGAGCTTGTTGAATGCGCTACCTGGTGGCTGGTATAGTGTTTTTTAATTTTGTTTTGCCTTTGTTTTGGTAATATGATTGACTGTTTTACCAGGAGTTCCGTGCTCCCTGCACAACATTTTCCTCAACAGGCGTTGTTCTCTTACGTCAGCGACTTATAAGCATGAATTTCAGCTGCTGCGCGCCAAGCCCTCCAACCAGCAATTCTAGTCCGACTGCTTGCTGTTACTGCCAGTGTTTGCTTTCTCCGCCGTAGTCGATATTGTCAGCTTGGTACCGCCGTGTCGGAAACATTTTAGATAGTATTTTCTCGTTTATTCGCCTTCTGCGTTCGTAATTTCTTATCATGACCAACGATGCGCCGTTCTCTTATCCAGCGCGACCAGACGGTCGCACGGCGACGCAGCTGCGACCAATGCTCGCCAGCCGGGGTCCGCTGTGCCGCGCCGATGGCTCCGCAAGGTGGTCGCTAGGTGCGTGCGTGACTATAACGAGCGAGTCTTGCGACGTCCCAAAGCCCGGCTCTGCGAGGTGGTCGTTAGGTGCGTGATTGTAACGAGCGAGACGCTTACCGGAGCTGCGTGAAGGGTATAATGCTCCCTGCACGAAGCTCGGCGGGAACGTCTCGCTCGTTATTCTTACGCACCTAGCGTGCACGAGATATCTTCACGACTTTTGAGGCGCCTCAAAAGAACGTCTCGCTCGTTATTCTCACGCGCCCAGCGTGCACGAGATTTTTTCACAACTGAATGCGCGACTCTTCGTTCTTTCCTCGCACCCCCGCCCTCCTCTCCCCGCCCCCAAATCCCCTCGTTCTCTCTCCCCGCTCCCCCGGCCCACCCTCACCACCCGCCCGGCCCCCAGTCCCGCCCTCCGCCAAACCCACTCCCTCTCTCTATCGCTTTCTCCAGAGCCCCTTGCAGGCGACACGTGGGTGGTCGCAGGACTGTATCTGCCGCGGGGGGGTGGTTTAATAGAATCTCCCGTTTTTTCCCCTCTCACACACCCTTTCTCGCCTAAACTCGCTCCCCACCCAACCCCCCTCTCCTAGAAACCCCTGCAGGTGACACGTGTGTGGGGGCGGGGGTGTAAAGACCGCGGCGGATGGGCGTGGGTCACTCAGGACTGTATCTGCCGCGGGGGGGTGGTTTAATAGAATCTCCCGTTTTTTCCCCTCTCACACACCCTTTCTCGCCTAAACTCGCTCCCCACCCAACCCCCCTCTCCTAGAAACCCCTGCAGGTGACACGTGTGTGGGGGCGGGGGTGTAAAGACCGCGGCGGATGGGCGTGGGTCACTCAGACCATTCCGCTTCTTCCTCGCACTCCCTTCTAAGCCCCCCTAAGCCCTCCTTAGCCCCCCCCTCCTCCTTCTCCCACCCCTCAACAGCCCCTACTGCAGGCGACACGTGTGTGGTGGCGGGGGTGTGTGGGCCGCGGGGGAAGGGCGTGGGTTTAGTTGAATCTCCTCATTCTTCTCCTCAATCCCCCCCCTAACCCCCATGCCCTCCCTAACCCCCCTTCTCCCGTTAATCCCCTAAAAACCCGAAACCCCTTGCAGGGGACACGTGTGTGGTGGCGGGGGTGTATGGGCCGCGGGGGAAGGGCGTGGGTTTAGTTGAATCTCCTCATTCTTCCCCTCAATCCCCCCCCTAATCTCCATGCCCTCCCTAACCCCCCTTCTCCCGTTAATCCCCTAAAAACCCTAAACCCCTTGCAGGGGACACGTGTGTGGTGGCGGGGGTGTATGGGCCGCGGGGGATGGGCGTGGTTCAGTTGAATCTTCCCATTTCCTCCCCTCATTCCCCCCTAACCCCCCTAAACCCCTAACCCCTTGCAGGGGACACATGTGTGGTGGCAGGGGTGTATGGGCCGCGGGGGATGGGCGCGGCGGGAGGGGGGCTGGCGGGGGGAGGGGGAGCAGTGGGGCAGGGGGGCAAGGAGGACCCTCTGAGAGCCTCCCTGCAGGTCATATGGGCTCCCAGGAACGGCATCGCAGGTGCGTGTGACTGTAACGAGCAGTGAGTTTGTTAGTGGAACGCTGCTGCTGTTCCTGCAGCAGCAGCAGCAGCATAAGTGGGGCAGGGGGGGGAAGGAGGACCCTCGGAGAGCCTCCCTGCAGGTCATATGGGCTCCCAGGAACGGCATCGCAGGTCCGTGTGACTGTAATAGTGCGACTGTAATGGTGTGACTGTAATGGTGTGACTGTACTGATGGTGTGGTGGTGTTCCTGTCGTGGTGTGACTATAACAAGCGTGGCTGCAGGAGTGAGGAGCTAAGGGTGCTCTCAGATGAATGGACTACTGGTCCAACCAAGGCAGTGGTGCGCCAGACAGTGGCCTCTCTGTGCTGCCTTGCCTCGGTGCGGCACACAGTGGCCTGTCTGTGCTGCCTTGTCTCGGTGCGGCACACAGTGGCCTGTCTGTGCTGCCTTGCCTCGGTGCGCCAGACAGTGGCCTCAACCAGGAGAAGTGCTGCTGCTGTCGTCCTACCCCAGTGGCCCCATGTCTTCCTCAACCCCCTCGCCTCCCCCATCACTCCCACTGCGACCGCTGTCCAATCACTACCCCCCCCTTCCCCCCTTCCCCTCTTCCCCCCTTCATCCCCAGGCCCACAGGAGAAGTACAGCGAGGCAGTGGTGCGGCAGACGGTGGACTCGGTGCTGCTGTCGTCCATGCCCCCTGTCATGATCGCTTCAATCCCCTTCGTCCTGACTGATCTCCTTTCCCCTCTACCCCAACATCAGGCGCACAGGAGAAGTACAGCGAGGCGGTGGTGCGGCAGACGGTGGATGCGGTGTTGCTGTCGTCGCTGCTGCCGCGCACGAGAATACAGCTGCAGCTGCAGGTGGGTTGAGATCGATGCAGTTCGGTGCAGTGATGCCTGGTCCTGCAGTGGCGAGGAGAGTACGGGTGCTGCAGCTGCAGGCAGTTTGGTCAACCGGACTACCACACATGGGAACGTGGTCACATGCGCACATCACCCATGCACACACATCCCATCACCCATGCACACACTACCCACACACCAAACATGCACACACAACCCATGCATACACCACCCACTACACACACATGGCACTCAGTCTCTGTCATTCTGATTTTAAGCGCCACAAACATCTTCCAATGCATACACCACCCATGCACACACGACCCATGCACACACCACCCATGCACACACCACCCATGCACACACCACCCATGCACACACCACCCATGCACACACCACCCATGCACACACCACCCATGCACACACCACCCATGCACACACGACCCATGCACACACCACCCATGCACACACCACCCATGCACACACGACCCATGCACACACGACCCATGCACACACCACCCATGCACACACCACCCATGCACACACCACCCATGCACACACCACCCATGCACACACCACCCATGCACACACCACCCATGCACACACCACCCATGCACACACCACCCATGCACACACCACCCAGGCACACACCACCCATGCGCACACCACCCATGCACACACCACCCATGCACACACCACCCATGCACACACCACCCATGCACACACCACCCATGCACACACCACCCATGCACACACCGCCCATGCACACACCACCCATGCACACACGACCCATGCACACACGACCCATGCACACACCACCCATGCACACACCACCCATGCGCGCACTACCTTCCCACCACACAGTACTCGGTCTCTCACACTCTCATCATTCTCTCCCGTTGTGCATGCAGGTGCTTCACGACGATGGCTCAGTAAGTCCGCTTGCTGCTGCTGCTGCTGCTGCTGCTGCTGCTTCTGCTGCTGCTGTTTCTCATTTTTGGTGCAGCGCAATCAACAGTTACATGTTTCCCTTCGCAGTACATGGTTCATTCATGATCAGCCCCTCGCTCACACTGGCAGTGCAGGTGGTGCACGACGGTGGATCGGTAGGTCTGCTTGTTTTGCGCCTTATTGAAAGTGACTTGCTTCATCATGAGGAGGTTCTTTTAGATTTCTTTTGAGGCGCCTCAAAAGTCGACTTGCTTCATCATGAGGAGGACCTATTTGGTTGGAATAATAACCGGCAACCCTTGTCTTGTCACTATCTTCCAAGCCTTTTCCTCATCCTTCATACAAATCATTACTCCTCGTGGAGCGGAGCACTTTTGAGTCAACTAAAAAATGGCGTCACTTTTGAAAATTCTTAAAACTCACTCCTTGGCAAGTTAATTCAGACCGTGGCCGTCCTGCTTTCTCAGAGTTTTCAGTCGCTTCAAAGCAACTCTTGCTCATCTAAGAGTGGTGTCACTCTTAGATGGAGCTGCTTAGCTTCTGCCTTGATTGCAGTTCTGCTCCTCATTCTCTTCTCAATGCTCCGAAACCATCTCCCCACCCACCAACCTCCACTACCCCACACCAATGAACACCTCCCCACACCACACGACACCACACCACCCCACACCACTCCACACCCCGCCCCTCACCAGCTGCTGGCGTGTGCTCTTAGCACTGCCTTCGCTGCTCTCCTCGATGCTGGCGTGCCCATTTCCTTACTCTCCGCTCTCCTCCTAAACCACCCCACCCCACCCCACTCCACTCCACTCCACTCCACACTCTGCCCATCGCCAGCTACTAGCGTGTGCTCTCAATGCCGCGTTTGCTGCTCTTCTCGATGCCGGCTTGCCTCTTGCCTGCCTTCCAGGTGCCCCTCTCCTCGTTCCCCTCTTCCCTCTACCCTACCCCTCTCTCCTTTTTCGTCTCTCCCTTCTCCTCACTCCTCTCTCCTCTCTCCTCCCTCCTCTCTCCGTTCTCCTCTCTCCATTCCGCTCTTTCCCCTCTTCCCGCTCTTAGTTCCTTTACTCGTACCATGCTCATCTTTACTCCACGTGCGCATCGCAGCATGACTGGAATCCCATGCACTTATGCACATGCACACGCCCCTTCCCTCCCGCCTCCGCATATTCATAAACACACAGCGGCAGTGCAGCTGGCCCTGGACTCCCAAGGTCAACTGCTGACTTTTGAGGCGCCTCAAAAGTTGCACACGCCCCTTCCCTCCCGCCTCCGCATATTCATAAACACACAGTGGCAGTGCAGCTGGCCCTGGACTCCCAAGGTCAACTGCTGCGACTTTTGAGGCGCCTCAAAAGTTGCACACGCCCCTTCCCTCCCGCCTCCGCATATTCATAAACACACAGCGGCAGTGCAGCTGGCCCTGGACTCCCAAGGTCAACTGCTGACTTTTGAGGCGCCTCAAAAGTTGCACACGCCCCTTCCCTCCCGCCTCCGCATATTCATAAACACACAGCGGCAGTGCAGCTGGCCCTGGACTCCCAAGGTCAACTGCTGCGACTTTTGAGGCGCCTCAAAAGTTGCACACGCCCCTTCCCTCCCGCCTCCGCATATTCATAAACACACAGCGGCAGTGCAGCTGGCCCTGGACTCCCAAGGTCAACTGCTGACTTTTGAGGCGCCTCAAAAGTTGCACACGCCCCTTCCCTCCCGCCTCCGCATATTCATAAACACACAGCGGCAGTGCAGCTGGCCCTGGACTCCCAAGGTCAACTGCTGACTTTTGAGGCGCCTCAAAAGTTGCACACGCCCCTTCCCTCCCGCCTCCGCATATTCATAAACACACAGCGGCAGTGCAGCTGGCCCTGGACTCCCAAGGTCAACTGCTGCGACTTTTGAGGCGCCTCAAAAGTTGCACACGCCCCTTCCCTCCCGCCTCCGCATATTCATAAACACACAGCGGCAGTGCAGCTGGCCCTGGACTCCCAAGGTCAACTGCTGACTTTTGAGGCGCCTCAAAAGTTGCACACGCCCCTTCCCTCCCGCCTCCGCATATTCATAAACACACAGCGGCAGTGCAGCTGGCCCTGGACTCCCAAGGTCAACTGCTGCGACTTTTGAGGCGCCTCAAAAGTTGCACACGCCCCTTCCCTCCCGCCTCCGCATATTCATAAACACACAGCGGCAGTGCAGCTGGCCCTGGACTCCCAAGGTCAACTGCTGCGACTTTTGAGGCGCCTCAAAAGTTGCACACGCCCCTTCCCTCCCGCCTCCGCATATTCATAAACACACAGCGGCAGTGCCGCTGGCCCTGGACTCCCAAGGTCAACTGCTGCGACTTTTGAGGCGCCTCAAAAGTTGCACACGCCCCTTCCCTCCCGCCTCCGCATATTCATAAACACACAGCGGCAGTGCAGCTGGCCCTGGACTCCCAAGGTCAACTGCTGACTTTTGAGGCGCCTCAAAAGTTGCACACGCCCCTTCCCTCCCGCCTCCGCATATTCATAAACACACAGCGGCAGTGCAGCTGGCCCTGGACTCCCAAGGTCAACTGCTGCGACTTTTGAGGCGCCTCAAAAGTTGCACACGCCCCTTCCCTCCCGCCTCCGCATATTCATAAACACACAGCGGCAGTGCAGCTGGCCCTGGACTCCCAAGGTCAACTGCTGACTTTTGAGGCGCCTCAAAAGTTGCACACGCCCCTTCCCTCCCGCCTCCGCATATTCATAAACACACAGCGGCAGTGCAGCTGGCCCTGGACTCCCAAGGTCAACTGCTGCGACTTTTGAGGCGCCTCAAAAGTTGCACACGCCCCTTCCCTCCCGCCTCCGCATATTCATAAACACACAGCGGCAGTGCAGCTGGCCCTGGACTCCCAAGGTCAACTGCTGCGACTTTTGAGGCGCCTCAAAAGTTGCACACGCCCCTTCCCTCCCGCCTCCGCATATTCATAAACACACAGCGGCAGTGCCGCTGGCCCTGGACTCCCAAGGTCAACTGCTGCGACTTTTGAGGCGCCTCAAAAGTTGCACACGCCCCTTCCCTCCCGCCTCCGCATATTCATAAACACACAGCGGCAGTGCAGCTGGCCCTGGACTCCCAAGGTCAACTGCTGCGACTTTTGAGGCGCCTCAAAAGTTGCACACGCCCCTTCCCTCCCGCCTCCGCATATTCATAAACACACAGCGGCAGTGCAGCTGGCCCTGGACTCCCAAGGTCAACTGCTGCGACTTTTGAGGCGCCTCAAAAGTTGCACACGCCCCTTCCCTCCCGCCTCCGCATATTCATAAACACACAGCGGCAGTGCAGCTGGCCCTGGACTCCCAAGGTCAACTGCTGCGACTTTTGAGGCGCCTCAAAAGTTGCACACGCCCCTTCCCTCCCGCCTCCGCATATTCATAAACACACAGCGGCAGTGCAGCTGGCCCTGGACTCCCAAGGTCAACTGCTGCGACTTTTGAGGCGCCTCAAAAGTTGCACACGCCCCTTCCCTCCCGCCTCCGCATATTCATAAACACACAGCGGCAGTGCCGCTGGCCCTGGACTCCCAAGGTCAACTGCTGCGACTTTTGAGGCGCCTCAAAAGTTGCACACGCCCCTTCCCTCCCGCCTCCGCATATTCATAAACACACAGCGGCAGTGCAGCTGGCCCTGGACTCCCAAGGTCAACTGCTGCGACTTTTGAGGCGCCTCAAAAGTTGCACACGCCCCTTCCCTCCCGCCTCCGCATATTCATAAACACACAGCGGCAGTGCAGCTGGCCCTGGACTCCCAAGGTCAACTGCTGCGACTTTTGAGGCGCCTCAAAAGTTGCACACGCCCCTTCCCTCCCGCCTCCGCATATTCATAAACACACAGCGGCAGTGCAGCTGGCCCTGGACTCCCAAGGTCAACTGCTGCGACTTTTGAGGCGCCTCAAAAGTTGCACACGCCCCTTCCCTCCCGCCTCCGCATATTCATAAACACACAGCGGCAGTGCCGCTGGCCCTGGACTCCCAAGGTCAACTGCTGCGACTTTTGAGGCGCCTCAAAAGTTGCACACGCCCCTTCCCTCCCGCCTCCGCATATTCATAAACACACAGCGGCAGTGCAGCTGGCCCTGGACTCCCAAGGTCAACTGCTGCGACTTTTGAGGCGCCTCAAAAGTTGCACACGCCCCTTCCCTCCCGCCTCCCCATATCCATACACACAGCGGCAGTGCAGCTGGCCCTGGACTCCCAAGGTCAACTGCTGCTCGACCCAACCAAGCAGGAGCAGCAGGTGAGCGAGCGTCCCCCAGGCCTTACCTGTCCTAGGAGCCGCTTCAATATCCTTCAATTTCCTTGACTTTCCTTGATTTTCCTTGACCTTCTTTAGTCTTGCCTTGTTTATCTTTGACTTAATTGTGAGTTTCCTTGATTTTTTCCTTGACTTGATTCTCGTTGACTTTCCCTTATGTTCCTTACCTCTCCTTGACCTCCCCCCTCCTCTCTTCCTCCCCATCACTACAGACAGCGTCTGCCACCCTCTGCACAGTGTTCGCCAACTGCCCGCTAGCACCGGATGGCACAGTGCTCGCTACAGTGCCCACTGGACTGGCTGGGGCGGCAGCAGTAGGAGCAGCAGCAGGGAGCAGCGGGCAAGAGGCAGTGGATGGGATGATTACATGTGAAGCCACAGGGCGGATCAGAGGTGAGGGAGGGCCATGGGCATGGGCATGGGCATGGGCATGGGTACTACTGATGTCTCAAGACAAGGTAGCAGCAGTGGGCAAGAAGCAGTGGATGGCATGATCACGTGTGAAGCTACAGGGCGGATCAGAGGTGAGAGCGGTGTGCGGGCATGGCGTATGGGTATGAGCAGTAGCAGCAGGAGCAGCGCGCAGCAGTGGTGGGGAAGAGGCGGTGGAGGGGATGATAACGTGAAGCCACATAACGGATCAGAGGTGAGGGACGGGCAGTGGGGCGATCAAAGGTAGGAATGGTGTGTGGGCATGTGCGGATTGAGGAGCAAATAGGCGGTTGTGGGAGAGAGGCAGTGGATGGGATGATTACATGTGAAGCCACAGGGCGGATCAGGGGTGGGGCTGGGTCATGGCCATGGGTGCTGATGCGTCAAAACAGGCTAGGACTGGTGTTCGTGCATGGGCAGGGGTGGAGTAAATAGGCGGTTGTGGGAGAGAGGCAGTGGATGGGATGATTACATGTGAAGGCACAGGGCGGATCAGGGGTGGGGCTGGGTCATGGCCATGGGTGCTGATGCGTCAAAACAGGCTAGGACTGGTGTTCGTGCATGGGCAGGGGTGGAGTAAATAGGCGGTTGTGGGAGAGAGGCAGTGGATGGGATGATTACATGTGAAGGCACAGGGCGGATCAGGGGTGGGGCTGGGTCATGGCCATGGGTGCTGATGCGTCAAAACAGGCTAGGACTGGTGTTCGTGCATGGGCAGGGGTGGAGTAAATAGGCGGTTGTGGGAGAGAGGCAGTGGATGGGATGATTACATGTGAAGGCACAGGGCGGATCAGGGGTGGGGCTGGGTCATGGCCATGGGTGCTGATGCGTCAAAACAGGCTAGGACTGGTGTTCGTGCATGGGCAGGGGTGGAGTAAATAGGCGGTTGTGGGAGAGAGGCAGTGGATGGGATGATTACATGTGAAGGCACAGGGCGGATCAGGGGTGGGGCTGGGTCATGGCCATGGGTGCTGATGCGTCAAAACAGGCTAGGACTGGTGTTCGTGCATGGGCAGGGGTGGAGTAAATAGGCGGTTGTGGGAGAGAGGCAGTGGATGGGATGATTACATGTGAAGGCACAGGGCGGATCAGGGGTGGGGCTGGGTCATGGCCATGGGTGCTGATGCGTCAAAACAGGCTAGGACTGGTGTTCGTGCATGGGCAGGGGTGGAGTAAATAGGCGGTTGTGGGAGAGAGGCAGTGGATGGGATGATTACATGTGAAGGCACAGGGCGGATCAGGGGTGGGGCTGGGTCATGGCCATGGGTGCTGATGCGTCAAAACAGGCTAGGACTGGTGTTCGTGCATGGGCAGGGGTGGAGTAAATAGGCGGTTGTGGGAGAGAGGCAGTGGATGGGATGATTACATGTGAAGGCACAGGGCGGATCAGGGGTGGGGCTGGGTCATGGCCATGGGTGCTGATGCGTCAAAACAGGCTAGGACTGGTGTTCGTGCATGGGCAGGGGTGGAGTAAATAGGCGGTTGTGGGAGAGAGGCAGTGGATGGGATGATTACATGTGAAGGCACAGGGCGGATCAGGGGTGGGGCTGGGTCATGGCCATGGGTGCTGATGCGTCAAAACAGGCTAGGACTGGTGTTCGTGCATGGGCAGGGGTGGAGTAAATAGGCGGTTGTGGGAGAGAGGCAGTGGATGGGATGATTACATGTGAAGGCACAGGGCGGATCAGGGGTGGGGCTGGGTCATGGCCATGGGTGCTGATGCGTCAAAACAGGCTAGGACTGGTGTTCGTGCATGGGCAGGGGTGGAGTAAATAGGCGGTTGTGGGAGAGAGGCAGTGGATGGGATGATTACATGTGAAGGCACAGGGCGGATCAGAGGTGAGGGAGGGGCATGAGCATGGGGTGAAGTGAGACTAAGCGGTTGTCAGGCAGTTCAGGTGATGATCACATGTGAAGCCTCCCTGCCACAGGGCGGATCAGAGGTGAGGGAGGCATGTGGGCATGGGTGTGGGTATGAGCATGGGCATGTGTATGGGTATGAGTATGAGCATGGGGCATGGGCACAGCATGGGTATGTCAATGCAACCAATGGGAGGCATGTGGCATTGCATTCCACATGGTTACATTACCCAACAACATTATCATATCATCACCGCACACCACCGCACAGCACCTTGCTCGCATCACTGCACACCACCAGTACAAATTGCCGCACGCCTCTGCACATCTCGGCACACCATCAGGCATGCACTAGGCATTGATTGATCAGAGGGAGTTAGGGTGGTTGCCCCATCTCTCACACACCAACTCCATCAACAAATGCCCTTCTTTCAATCACTCCACACCACTGCACGCCACTGCACATCACCGCACATCACCGCACATCACCGCACATCACTCCACATCACTCCACATCTCTGCTCATCACCGCACATCACTGCTCTTCACCGCTCACCATTCATCGCCACCATACATCACCCAATTGCACCCCACCAGCCCTCAAGTACGTGGAGGTGTTGGAGAGGGCAGTGTGTGTAGAGTGGTTGCCCTGCTGTTACAACATTCAGTCCACACCACCGCTCATCACCGCTCACCACTCCGAACCACCGCACATAACCCAATGTTACCCACCAGCCCTCAAGTACGTGGAGGCGTTGGAGCGAGCAGAGCTGGCATGCCGGGTCATTGATGCCTTCTCCCGCACCGGCCTTGAGCAGTTCCAGGTGCGCCAGAATACAGCGCGGTACAATGCGGTACATTGTGATATTATGTGGTAGCATGTGGGGAAAGCGGAGCTGGCATCGATGCCTTCTCCCGCACTGGCCTTGAGCAGTATCAGGTGTGTGTCATTGGTACAGTGCGATACGGTGCAGTGCAGTATGGTGCAGTATATCATGTGGACAGCAGAGCTGGCGTGTCGGGTCATTGATGCCTTCTCCCGCACTGGCCTTGAGCAGTACCAGGTGCGCAGTGCGGTACAGTGCGTTAAATGCAGTACATTGTGATGTTCTGTGGTAGCATGTGGGGAGAGCAGAGCTGGCGTGCCGGGTCATTGATGCCTTCTCCCGCACCGGCCTCAAGCAGTACTAGATGCGTCACTGGTCCAATGCGGCACCATGCGGTTCCTTGTTCTACAATGCAGTATTATATGGTAGAATGTGGTGCCAGGTGTGTTGGAATGCCAGGTGCGCTAATAGTACAATGCAGTACCATGCGGTAGCATGTGGTAGCTTTCGGTTGCATGCAGTACCATGTGGTAGCGTGTGGTAACATGCAATACCATGTGGTAGCAGGTATGCATCGAATCAGTACCAGGTATGTTACCAGGACCACGCAATCCCATGGTCCGGGTTACCACCCAAGGGCATTCTGAGTAATGACGCCTGTCTCACAGATGGAAGCATTACGGGATGTGTCTCCACATGCGCGCCACAGCCTGTTTACTAGCTTGCTCATGCTGCAGCTGCAATGCTACTTCCACTAGTTTGTTTGCAATAAACACAGGTTTGTTTGTATAAAGACAGGTAACGCATGTCCTTTTTATGAAGTCAGGCTCGTTTGTATCAACACAGGTAACACAGGTTCGCATGCATAAAAACAGGCTCGTTTGTATGAACAAAGGTAACACATGTTCGCGTATATAAAGACAGGTTCGTCTGTATAAAGACAGCTTCGTTTGTTTAGTCACATGTAGCACAGGCTCGTTTGTATAAACACAGTCAAATTCCTCCGTTCGCTCTCCCCTCTCGCCATCATTTCCTGTGGTATTCTTTGGTCTACTATTGTGGTGCAGAAGAGAAGAGAGGTGGTGGCAGGGTGAGTTGCGAGCTCCTCAGAATTCATAAAAGGGTGAGCTCAGCGTGAGCTTTTAGGAATTTTCATAAGGGTGGGCTGTGAAATTTTGTATGGAATACTGCTCTGCTTTTTAATAAATACCAGACCAGACGCCGGCCACAGACAAACCAGGCCCAAGGTACAAAATTTACGAAGTTTACGCATGCGCATGTTGAGTGGATATGCTTCATGATGTGCCCTAGTCCATCTGTTCAGACTGCCCAATATTCTCATTATGCCACAACTGCCACTGGCTTCAACATTACAGCATTATGGAGGCATGCGATGCACATAAACAGAAGTTCTGTTGATAAGGTAGTAATATTGCAAACGGGCAAGAACATTGATTGCCGAACATTTCATGTTCTCAGTCTTCATAAGCAACTGTATTGTGTTTGATGTTCTAGTAAACATGTGGGATTTACGCGATACGCAATAGTGCCCAAGATCCAGAAGAAAGCGCCACCGCCTTCTCCTCCCTAACTCGAGCTTTGGCAGATACTCTGATTGGGCTAGTGACAGCTAGGGACGCGTTAGCTTGACAGGCTCGGTGACCGACCTCGCAGGGTTACCACTTCGTGATAGTCTTGACATCCGCTGCATCGCACAGCACACACGGTGAAATGTCGAAAACCGAATTTCACCGCTGCTGTAGGCGAAGAAGCACAAGGGTCCACTCGATGATGGTCAAACACAATTCACACACTTTACCTCGGTCTATTCTGGTGCGTTACGTTCAGAAGCGGTAGAGAACCAAAACCACGATTTTTTGTGGGGAGACTTGTTGCACATCGATGGCTTAGTTTTCCTCCGCTTTGCTTCCATTCCCTCACTGATTCCACCCACCCTGCTTTCCGCCATGGCTTGGCTCGACCAGCGATTGACTCGAGCGAGCTTTATCAACGCGTCACCCTACATTATAGCTTTCTCGGATTAGCCAATCGTAGGTCACCTCTTTTCTCTTAGAGCTGGTATTATCGGGTTGCGGCCAATAACATGCCAGAGTTCAGCACTTCACAGACGTTGGCAAGAATGACGAATTTTGATTCGACACCGATGTCATTCCGACTGATGCGCTCGCCCGCCTTATTGATGGTACCGATGCGTCCCGAATCACCTCCGAGTTTGACATTGAATCATCGCTCGGCTGAGATACCTTTGCGGAATCTCCTATCATCCCGTCCGTCAATTCCCACCTTCAACCGTAACGCCGGGTATATCTAGTCCTTCCATCTCCGAGCCTCAAAGTGACTATAAATGAAGGTGATTTCAGTCCTTACAAACCCATCCAGTTCTGCATTCCGTTTACCTTTCCACTAGAAGCAGTAGCTCGCTCCTTCTTGCGAGCCGATTTCCAGTTGACTCCTTTTTACATCATGGCCTTCATTCGTGCTCGTTCGGTGTTACTATTTGGTAAGCGTTATCCTTGACGAGGGTCCGCGGCACCAATGCCGGTGCAATCCAAACTCATTGCTCGCCAGCTGCCAACCTGGCATTGTAACCCGATCGCTAATTCGCAACTCGTCGTGTGTGTGTGTGCTTCGTTGCAGCGTTTCTTGCAGCGGCGCTGATGGCGGTTGCCACCGCCAAAAAGAAGAAGCCCGTTCCCAGAAAGAGCTCTCCCTACGGTCAGTTCAATAATTCCATTTTTGCATATCCAAAACATCTCCCCCGTATGAACACCTTAAGCCCACGTTGAATTTCAACGTCACTCCGAAATTCGAATGGCGCGAGACTTTCCAACCTGAACTCACCCTCTTTTTTTTTTAATGTCTCCCCGCGAAGCTCCAATCTCACCCCCATCATCCCCTCCCACCTCCCCACCTTCCCCTCCCCATCCGCCTTGATCTTTCCTCCTCTCCCCTTCTCCTCCTCGGTTTCTTTTTCATCAGACCCCTTCGATGCCACCCTGTATGGCAATCTCGAGATTCCCAAGAATGACTCAGAAGCTGCCAGGAACGCCGTCGGCGACCCAAGCGGAATGGTGACCATGAGGCTGAATATCTACAAGTGAGTCTTTCAGGCCTGAATTCGCGGCCTTAACAGCGGACAGCCATTGGGTGCCCTGATGATACCAGGTGTCTCGCCCCATGTTCAAAGCTCAAATCTGTCATTTGATGCGCACATGATGACGTCGAGGTCAACCGCTGTTTCTCTGATGTGTGATGTTCAGGCAAAATGGCAAGCCTGTGTGGCTAGATTACACAGTGGCAACTTTTGACATGGAGGGCGAGATGCCACCGACCGCGACGCATGTGCACAACGCAACAGAGGGATCCAACGGTCCCAAGGTGCTGGACCTGCCGTGCGCATACCAATTCGATGAGAGCCTCGCTGCCTGGAGCTGCAAAGGCGTGCTCGGGAAGAATTTGGCGGAACGGACAGCGACGCTTGTGTCGACTCTCGATGCGATTCGGAAGAACCCGAGTGGGTTCTATGGGAACATTCACACCGTGAAATATCCTGACGGCGCTGTGCGTGGGCAGTTTGTAGTTACAAAGTGATATACACCGTCCATCTACCGATGGAACGAATTTAAGGGGAATTAGGAGTCAGAGGGGGTGAGGGTCCCACTGAGGGGAGTGGAGTGGGTAGTAAGGTATGTGGTGGGAGTTAGTGGAATTAGATGTGTGTGTGCGTGTGTGTGTGTGTGTGTGTGTGTGTGTGTATCCTTTACTCTGCTTTGGCTTTGGTGGTGTTGTTATGGTATAATGAAATGGCAAGTGAGATGCCTCTCTTCCCCTTGTACAACATTGGAAACTACAGTAGCATGACTCAGTTCATATACCTACGGTACCGGTACTGCCTCTCACTGGAACTCACTCCCTTCATATGGTACCGGTACAAGTACTACTCCTGCTATCCCTGTGCCACACTACACTGTTCACATCGGCACAAAAGTTGAAAATCTTTGCTATATACAACGGCATAGAAAAAGTTTTGTCAGGATGAGCGCAAGCTGGCCATGGTCTCATAATGATAGGTGGCTGGCTTAGATGTCATGGTGCCGCGATGGTACACTGGCTACGGTGTCATGATGTCATGATGATTGCAGGCCAGCCATGATGTCATGATGACTGCTGGACAGCCATGGTATCATGATGACTGCTGGCTGGCTTGAATGCCATGGTGCCACAACGGTATCATGGTGTCATGATGATTGCAGGCCAGCCATGATGTCATGATGACTGCTGGCTAGCCAAGGTGTCACAGAGAATGTCAGGGCGGTCAGTGAACAGCATGTCGCACCCCATGGCCATGCAGTCCTCCTGTAAGAGGATGGGCACGGTACAGTACAGATGGATAGAGAGTGGTGGGGGGAGTTGAGAGCTCAAAGAACCCAACTGAGAGTGTCAGGGCGGTCAGAGAACAGCATGCTACACCCCATGGCCATGCAGTCCTCCTGCACGAGCATGGGCACGGTAATATCAAGGTATTAATGATCAACCCAACTGAACATGCAAGGGCGGTCAGAGAAGAGCATGTCACACCCCATGGCCATGCACTCCTGCACGAGCATGTGGCAGGGGCACGAGCATGTGGCAGGGGCACGGAATAGAGGTATGGAGAGTGGCGGCGGTTATTGAGAGCTCAAACAAACCAACTGAGAATGTCAGGGCGGTCAGAGAAGAGCATGCTACACCCCATGGCCATGCAGTCCTCCTGCAAGAGAATGGGCACAGTACGGTACTGTATGGTACATATGTATTAAGAGGGCTCTTGCCCATTCTCTTGCAGGAGGAGCAAACGAAAGGCGGTTCTTGAGAGATGTAACAGACCAAACGAGAGTGTTAGGGTGGCCCCAAAAGAGCATCTCACACCCCATACCCGTGCAGATGGTGGGAAGGATGAAACCTGGCCCCTCTTTCTCTCATATCCCATCCACGTGCACCTTCCCCTCCCATTCCCCACCTGCCCCTTCCAACCCCTACCTGCCCCCTCCTCTCCTCCCACCCTCCACCTGCCCCTCCCACGCCTCACCTGCCCCTCTCTGTGGTCGAGGGAATCCCCAAACACCGACACCCACCGCTGCATGAGTGACTTGGGGCCACCCTCCCAACCACCCAATCCTTCGCTCCCTTCCCACCTCCCCTACGCCTTACCTGCCCCTCCCCATGCCCCACCTCCCCCATGCCCCACCTGCCCCTCCCACGCCTCACCTGTCCCTCCCTGTGGTCGAGGTAATCTCCAAACACCGACACCCACCGCTGCATGAGTTGACGGGTTAGGAAGGGGGAGAGCGAGAGTGAGGGAGAGAGCAGGGGAGGGGTCGTAAAGCAGGAAAGGAAGAAAAACGCAGGAGCAAAAAAGGAGGAGAGGTGAGATAGTCTCAGGAGAATCATGGCAAAGGCTATGTCGAAATAAGGGGAAAATAAAAAAGGGGATGACACATAGGTACACTCCGCTGATGAAAGGCTGAAACAATTTGATGCAGGTATCCCTTTTGACAAGTCTTCAAAGAAGCTAACCCTTTGGACAACTCTCAAAAGGGTCTCTAAAAAAGGGGTTCCTAATAGTATCCTCCACAAAATTCCGAAGAAGGGCGGGTTGCTGGAGCTGGAGTGCCAGAAGCAGTTCGTATTCCCGCCGCTGCCCGCCGATTGGTGGGGCTTGAAGTTCGGGTTCGTGCGCGGGTCAGGCTCGGGAGCTGGCCGGTTGACGAACGAGGGAGGAGAGGAAGATGAGGAGAAGAAGGCAGGTTTCAGCGAGCAGGACCAGGAGAATCTTTACAACCTCGTGCACGTATGTATAGTTCAGGGTTTGGAAGGGTTGAAGGGTTTTGAAGGGGTTTGGTTTGATAGTCAGGTGATTTCACGAGGGTGTCGCGTGAATGAGTATTTGGGGAGAGTGCAAGGGCTACGGCGAGGGAGGAGGGGGAGAAGAAGGCGCGGTTCAGGCAAATTGTTTCAATGCATTCGTTTCAGTTCAGGGTTGAACCTGAGGGGTCTTTCAGAGTTTATGGAGGGTTTTACGGGGAGTGTGTTTGTGTTTGCGCACGCTTCGAAGGCTTGATGGTCGTTCAAATGGCCATGGAGTTCAATCTGTCGTGCCACACCAGTGAGCGCCGTCAAACCATGGCTCGGTTCGTCCCAGCCATGGCTGTGTGCCGCCCATGCAGCTGCTTCTGGCTCTGCCGCCGGTCTGCCATCCCATTGGCTGGCCTGGCACGCATGCTGCATGGTACATACATATGATCATACCTAACTTGATAACCACATTAAGAGGAATGCGCAGAACGTCAATGCTCGCCTTGCAAGTGAGTTTTGGGAATCATTGTTGGTTTTGATTCTTTTCCATAATATCTTCTTCCCGCTTCCCCGCCCTCTCTCAATCCCCACCACCACTCCAACTCTGTGCTTCATAGGATCACGCGACGAGCGGCAAGCAGGGGTTGGGAATTGGCGACCTGCCGCGGAAGGTGGCGGGGGCTCGATGGAAGGGCACCAAACAGACGTTCGAAGATTTAGAAGAGGTCAGCGAGGGGGAGGAGAATGAGGAGGATGGGAATGAGAGCGAGGAGGAGGTGGTGGAGGAGGGAAGGGGGGAAGAGGAGAACAGGGATGGTGCAGCAGCTGGTGCAGAAGGGGCGGTATTGACAACAGGCGCAGAAACTGCTGCTGCTGCTGTGGATGCGGGTTGGGGTGATGGTGCTGGGTCAGCGGAGCAGGAAGGGGGAGAGAAGGAAGGGAGGAGCAAGAAGCGGAAGAGAGAGGATCGGTCGAGGAAAGACAAGACAAGGGCGGGAAGGCAGCTGCGGAGGGTGAAGCGGTACCAGAAGTTGCAGAGAGGCGGAGAGCGGTGATTGGAAATAGATGGCAGCACAACGAGAAGGTTGTGAAAGAAGAGGTGAAGGAGGAGGGGATTCGTGCAGAGGATAAGGGAAAGGAAGGAGAGGCAGGTGGCAGCAGGAAGAAGTTGAAGAAAGGGAGCAGCGCTGGCATGGAGGTGTCAGGCAGTGAACCGGCTGATGGCTCAAAGGGCGGTGTTGCGTTGAAGACTCGAGTGAAGCGCGCTGTCAAGCAAGCTCTGCAAAAGGTGCTAACATTTCCTGGTGTGTGGGCGGGTGGTTGTGTGGGTGGGTGCATAGGTGTGTGCGTGCGTGCGTGTGGGTGTGCATGTGCGTGTGTGTAAGTGAACATGTATGGGTGCGTGTGTGTAAGTGAACATGTATGGGTGCGTGTGTGTAAGTGAACATGTATGGGTGCGTGTGTGTAAGTGAACATGTATGGGTGCGTGTGTGTAAGTGAACATGTATGGGTGCGTGTGTGTAAGTGAACATGTATGGGTGCGTGTGTGTAAGTGAACATGTATGGGTGCGTGTGTGTAAGTGAACATGTATGGGTGCGTGTGTGCACGTGTGCGTGTGTGCGCAGCCAAGGTCTCCCCTTACCATATTTTCTGTCCTACAAAAAAAAGAAACCAATATTATCTCCTTCCATATCTCCTCTCTGCCCCTACCCACACCACCAGGAGGGCGAGGCAGGAGTGGCTTTAGCATCTCTGCGGGACACGGTGGGGCAGCAGCTGGAGCTGAGCAAAGCAGAGAGGAAGCAGCTTGCCAAGATCATGGACACCAAGGTGCGTACTAAAGGGTTCAAATGCAAGATCATGTACATTATCGGGGGTTTGGATTGTTGTGCCTTCCTCTGCCAACATTCGCTTACCAAGATGGTGATGTCAGGTTTTATCTATGTGACATTGTTGAACACAGCCTGAGCTATCCTTTTTCTCTGTATGTGCAGTTGCCTGGATGGGCATTTGTCAGTGTGGCCGCGGGCATGGTGCAGCTACGAGCGTGATTGACGGCTTCTTTTTCGCGCATCACTGACTTCCTATTCATTATAGCTATTAAAAGCATTCTGAAATTGAAGTACCATACACTGCTGGCCAAGACCAGCTGAGGGTTTATTTCGCCCTCTTGAAAAGTGGTTGTTCGGACTTGTAGTTCAATATGAATACAACATTAGTTCAAGGTATATAGCATACATGCTATGTATATCTGGTGAGGACCTCGTGTTTTTACATTTTGGCGTTCATTGTTCATCAATCTGACATGCGTTTGATATTAGAGACCCGTTTTCGGTGTTCTGTGAACTGTTTCTGCAGCATCTCATTTTGTCGAGTTAGCGCATCGGTTTTTGAATGGATTTCTGAACAGTCGATGTGTTCTGCAGCTGCTGCTAATGTCGGTGAAACCCTTGGATTGAGAAAACCGACCGTCAAGATTTACAGTATCAACATCCCTTGACATTCCCTTTGTCTAGGGATGTCGTGTCGACATTCACTTCGGACGCCCTCAGGCACTGGAGCTTCAGTTTTGACATTATCGAGAGGAGACCACCATCACCATCAACTTCCCCTACCAGGGGCGGGTCAACTTCCCCTTTGCGCATTCAAATACGGTGGAGCAGGGTTGGAGATGCTTCTCAGTCTTCACCGCTTTAAAACGTTCGGCACCGCACTAAACCTTTCGAAGTTAGCTGTAAACACATATCACACCACACCATCAACCCTCGCCCATCCCACCCCAATTTCCTCTCAACACCCTTGTCCCATCAATTCCTTGCTCCAACTGAATCTGGTTTGCATTTCCACATTCCTCCGCGCACTGCCTTGGCAACGATTCAGCCATGGCGTCGCTCGCGCGCATCCTCTCCGCAGTAGTGTTCGCGGTGCTGACGATGGTGCAGGCGTTGGGGCTGCTGTTCATGATCTACTGGAAGCAGGAGCTCGCGTTCACAGCTCCACCTGTCACTGAATCCGGCGGCATTCTCGCCGAATTCAAGCGCGCGTGCCTCGAATCCGAGAGTGCGTTTCTTGACGAGTGTGCCGTGTGTGATGGCACCACGCTCTATCTTCACTGCACCAAATTTGCTGAGATCTTTATATCGTGGATGTTGTATCGTACTTAGGGTTGCAGTCTTCGTTCCTTCGCCCCGCATTGCTTTAACCATCCTGGTCCTGTTCACAAGGCAGTGGGAGATTTCGCATTGCACGTATGCGCATGCTCTGCTGCATCCTCACCGTCCGTGTCTCATATCCGTCGCATCGCGTCCATCTCCCTTGTCCACGTCAGCAGGCGACTGCCCGGTTCTCGGCAAGGGATTCTTCTTTGGCCTCGCCACGGCGCCTGCACACGTAGAGGACCAGCTGGATGACGCGTGGCTGAAATTCGCTCGGCGCGGAAGCAACGAGAAGCCCGACCGAGGCCCTGTCAGCTTCTTTCCTTCTCTTCACCACTTCCATTCTCTTATACTGCTATTCTTTTCGTTTTTTTTGGGAGATTTAAAGAAACAGCCCGACCGAGGCCCTGTCAGCCGCTTTTCCTTCTCTTGGATGTTGCTGTTTCTTCGTATTGCTATTCTCCTCGTTCCATATATCTCATCGCATGTTCATCCGCCTGATTCGTTCCTGCCTTTATTTCTTCAACTTCCCCGTTGCCTCAATGCAAACCCTATACCTTTCGAAGTCCAGATGCCTTGATCCTATTGCCGCCACAAAATCCCTAGGCCTGCATTCGCACTTGCAATTAGAGCCATGCACCACTCCACACCTGATGACAAACCCTCAGGTCTGCAAGAAACCCATAAATCCTCATCTATGCTTGACGCTTGCTGCCCAACCTCCCAACCAATGCCGAACCTCTCATCCATCAGGTTCGGGCGTGGCACAACGTGCCCAAGGCTGAGCAGCGGCTTCGGTTCTGGACCGAGCCTGAGGTGGAGGTGGACCTGGCAGCGCGTGCAGGCGTGGAGGCCTTCCGTATGGGCGTTGACTGGGGGAGGATTGTTCTGCGCGAGCCACAGGGGGGCAAGATGGAGGTGAGGGGGTGGATGGGTGCATGCGCTAGGGTATGGGGAACATATTTTTAGGCCTTCCGCATGGGCGTTGACTGGTTTCGCGTGAGCCACAGGGGGGAAGATGGAGGTGCCGGGGTGGATTGGTGTGGATGCGTATGCTTGGGCATGGGAGGCACTTCTTCCAACTTGGCTTCAAAACCCTCTCTTCATTTGTTCCTTCTCCCTTCTCCCTCCGCCCTTCTCCCTTCCGTCTTCTCCCTCATCCCACAATAGATCGACCATGGAGCAGTGGCGCGCTACAAGGAGATAATGGCGCTGGTGCGGGCGAGAGGCATGCGCGTGATGCTCACACTCTTCCACCACTCGCTGCCCTCCTGGGCCGAGCCCATTGGCGGCTGGACCAACGCCTCCCTCGTTGACCACTTTGACTCCTGGACCCAGTGAGTGCGGTGGAGGGGCACGTGAGTTCGGTGGAGTGCGGTGGAGGGCTAGTGAGTGCGGTGGAGGGCTAGTGAGTGTTGGTGCAACCCTACGGTTTGCACTCGGCTTGTTGTCCGTGTGCGTGAATGTGTGTGTGTATGGAATGGTATGAGGGCATGGGATAATATATATTTCATGCTTATAATTGTGTGTGAATATTGAGTCATGATGTCGAGTGTGTGTGTCGAGTCAATAGCGAGTTATCGCTAGACGCGTGTTACGCGGCCGTTTGTGTCTCGCGCGCGGTTTCTATTTTGTCGTGCGCGGTTTCTATTGTGTCCTGTGTCGAACGTTCGGCGTGTCGCAGGTGTGTGCAGCAGACCCATCAAGAACTCAAGGATGAGTTTGTGATGAAGAGCCCGAGCCTTGGTGTCAAGCCTCAAGTGATTTCGAAGCTTGCCAAAAGGGTACACCTCAAGATATTGAAGATAGTTACATTACTTTGTGTAGTGTAACATTTCACTTGGTGTAGGCCCTAGTGAAGGGTAGTTTCGAGACCCTTCGTGGTTGGGGACAGTGTGGCACTGTTCCAAATCACTGTACCTCGGCCCTTGGGGTTTGTAGGAGCTGGGAGTCATTCCCAACTCGTAACTCTTCCTATCTTGTGTTCTAAGACTATAGTGGCTGCCATAGTACCGTTCGTTCAAACCGACGCTGTGTCGTCAATTCTTTATCAAATCGTGCAATCTAAATTGCTAATTGTAGACGACGTGAAGACGCTCCAGATCCAATTTGAATCAGGTCATTTGCAGCTGTGAGAAGAACGCTATCAACGTTTGAAGCCGCTGTGCAGAAATCCGTCTGTGCTCTCTATCTTTCGTTTTAGGCACATTCAAGCCTATTGTGACTATAACAAGTGGTATCAGAGCCCCTTGGAGCAGTTTCGACAATGTCTGGACCTGAGGAAAGGGGTGGCAGAGGTGCTGGTGGCAGTGGAGAAGCTCAAGCTCAAGGCCAACCCCGTGATTCAGCCATGGCGCCCATGCAACCATGTCTTGGCCCACCTAGGGATGAGCCTAGGGTGTTTGGGCTTGACAAGTTCAACGGTGACAACTTTGCTGAATGGTCCTTCAAGATGGAGAACATCTTTGACCACTATGACCTGCTGGAGGTGATGGAAGGAACGGAGAAGCGCCCCGAGAACGACCCGGAGAAGAGCCCGTGGGTGCGGAAGAGCGCACAAGGCTATCTCTTACTTGGGCAAGCGTTGGGGAGCAGTCAGATCCGTCACATCAAGCCATTCCAGCGTGAACCAGAGAAAGGACCAAAGGCATGGGCTGCTCTCAAGGGTGTACATGCTCCTGCAACAGCGGCGGTAGCGGTGGTGTTGGAACGGCAAATGGCGGCACTACGAATTGAAGAAGACGAAGCGGTTGACGAAGGGGTGCAGAAATTATTCGAATTGTTGACGCGGCTTGAGGGAGCTGACTTGAACTACAGTGAGCTCCAAAAGAAGACCAAGTTGCTGGCCTTACTCCCAGAGTCATGGTCCTCGCTCATCATCAACCTTAATCGCGACTTGCCCCGCCTCTCGCTTGAAGACGTGAAGCGAGCTATCCTTCAAGAGGATTTCCGCCGCCGTGAGTTGGCGAGTGCGGATGGCGCTGGGGCAGCGAGCATCGGCCGTGGATATGGTCGAGGAAGAGGCAGAGGACGAGGGGGAGGAAGGTTTGGTGGCAGCAACTTCGGCGGAGGCCGCAGGAGTGGCGGTTACGGCAGTGACGACAAGAGCTACGGACGCGGTCGCGGCCGATTCGACGACGAGTGTCACTATTGCCACAAGAGCGGACACATGTGGCGCGACTGCTACAAACTCCCTGATGGTTGGACCCCTGCTCAAGGCCAAGAGGGTAGAGGAGCAGGAGGAGGGAGAGGACGAGGCCGTGGAGGCCGTGGCGGTCGCGGTGGCGGGGCTGCAAACATGAAGAGCGGAGACAACGACAAGGACCCGAGCGACGATCGATACCCGGGTCTATTCTACTTCGTGTCGACGCAAGTACCGGCTGGTCCAGAGAAGGATGAAGGCTTTGAGGAGCCAGCAGCTGTGGGGAAGGTGACCCTACACCCCCTGGACTATTGGGTGATTGATAGTGGCGCTACCTATAGCATGACACCTCGCCCGGACTTGCTCACCGAACTCGAGCCGTCACCGGTGAAGCATGTCACATCGGCTTTGGGGCAGCGAGCAGAGGTGAAAGGCATGGGCAAGGCCATGTTCAAGGGTGCTGATGGGAAGATGGTGGGCCTCAAGAACGTGCTTTGGGTGCCCAGCCTTGCTGCAAACCTGATTTCCGTGCGGCGGTTGGCAAAGGCCGGCATGGACACGAACTCGAAGGGAGCCAAGACCTACACCGCAAGGCTTGGCGATCGAATTCTTTGGGACCTTCATGAGGACAGGGATGTCTACAACGAGATGTGGCAGATCCCAGTGGTCCCTATGCCTAAGGAGAGGCAAGTGGCAGCAAGCATCAGCACCAAGGATGGAGCGGTCGGTAGCGACGATGGCGCGAACGGTCGCGCTAAGGAGAATGAGCTCAAGAAGAGCAAACCTGGAGGGACCAGCAAGTTCAGTGAACCTAAGGAGAGTGGTGCAGCAACCAAGGAGCAGCAAAAGGGTGAGGAGAACCCAGAGGCAGCAGCGGAGGAGGACTACGGAGAGAGTATGTGGGGCGCTATTGCGAGCGCGGCATTCTCCAATCCAACTTCGGCTACAGGGGAGTGTGATTGGCTCACCTTGCATCGGCGCATAGGGCATGTGGCCCATCTTGCAGCAGCTAGTGAAGAATGAGATGGTTGCTGGCATACGTGTGAAGGGGGAGCCCGATGAGGTGCTTGGCTGCCCGACGTGCATTCAAGCCAAGTTCACCCGGTTTCCGTTCCCTAGTTCGGAGGCAACGGCAAAGGCACCGCTTGATGAGGTGGTGATGGACGTGGTGGGCCCCCTGAAGCTTGGAGCTGCTGGAGCTGAGTATTTTCTCACCATTGTCGACGTCTACACCCGCATGACTTGGGTGTACGTGCTGGCCAAGAAGAGCGACGTGGCTGAAACGTTGAAGACGGATTGGTTCCCGATGGTGGAGCGGCAACAAGACCGTCTAGTCAAGTCAATCCGCACCGATCGAGGGGGAGAGTTCCTGAGCAAGGAGTTTGGGTTGTGGCTGAAGAAGAATGGTATTCGGCACTCCCTCACCATGCCATACTCCCCTGCAATGAACGGCATCGCCGAGCGAGCGAACCGCACAATCACGGAGGCGGCACGCGGGTTGCTCATTGAAGCCGGGCTACCCGACTATTTCTGGCCTGATGCGGTGCGGAGCGCGTGTGTGGCCAAGAACAGAGCCTTGACTCATGTGGGAGCAGACAAATGGGTGCCCTATGTGGAGTGGCTAGGAAGGAAGCCAAAGGTGGATATGCTTCGGGTGTTCGGGTGCATGTGCATGGCGCTCGTGCCTAAGCATCTTCGGCACAACAAGCTTGGTGCCAAGGCGGTGTGGGCCGTGCACTTGGGCATGGCTCAAAACAGCAAGGGATGGCTTCTTTGGGACCCATTCACCAAGAAGTTCTTGGTGAGCAGGGACTGCAAGTTCATGGAGAAATTCATGTACAAGGATTGGAAGGCGGAGAATGAGGCGAAGATAGGCGTGCGGTTTGGGGAGGTGAAGAGTTCCGGTTTGGAGCATGTGGAGCTGCCTTTGGAGCTGAGCAGCGGCAGCACAACCACAAGGCAATCCTCCCTTGTGAATGGGGGAGAGGAGGCCAATGATGCAGAGGAAGAAGAGGAGGAGGTGCAGCAAGTGAGCGAGCGTGCACCGTCACTCCCTTCCCGTACTACGAGTGCTCCACGGATTCGAGCCACACCGCAGCAACGCCAAGGCCTTCAAGTCCCTGCAGCTGAGGAGGAAGGAAGGGGGAAGAGGAGAGTTCAACCCCCTAATAGGCTGACCTATGATGCGCCGGGAAAGCAGGGCAAGACAGCCCTGGCCGGAGCGGCAATGATGGTCGGAGACGACGAGGAGAGTGACTACGAGGAGTGTGCCTTCGCGTTCTTCTCTCCGGTGGAGATGCCGGGAGAACCAGCAACTCTCAAGGAGGCTTTGGAGAGTAGTGATGCTGAGGAGTGGAAGAAGGCCATGGAGAGTGAGCTGAAGAGCATCGAGGAGAATGACACGTTTGAATTGGTGGAGCTACCGGAGGGGCGTACGGCGATAACGTCCAAGTGGCTCTTCAAAATCAAGTCGGATGCCGACGGCAAGATCGAGCGCTACAAGTCTAGGCTTGTAGCCAAGGGGTACCAGCAGAAGGAGAAGGTGGACTTCAAGGAGCTGTTTGCCCCTGTGGTGAAGCCGACTACGCTGCGAACCCTATTCGCGGGAGCCGCCATCAAAGGATGGGTAGTAAAGCAAATGGACATCGTAACGGCATTCCTTAACGGCATCCTTGAGGAGGAGATTTTTATGGCGCAGCCAGAGGGGTTTGATGATGGTAGTGGCAGAGTGTGGAAGCTGAAGAAGGCCCTATATGGGCTGAAGCAGGCCCCTAGGCAATGGTACATGAAGCTGCGCGAAGTGTTGGAGGGGATCGGCTTCACTCCCTCAACGGCCGATCACTCCTTGTTCATGCTTGGCGAGGGGGAGCAGAGGAGTTTCATGGTGGTTTATGTGGATGACATCCTCATTTTCTCACCCTCTTCTGACCTTGTGAAGGAGGTGATGCTGAAGCTTCAAGACAAGTTCAAGTGCAAGGCCCTTGGTGACGTGAGCTTCTACCTTGGGCTCCACATCGAACGAGATGTGGAGAAGCGGTGCATGCGGGTGCATCAACGAAAGTACCTGGAGGCATTGGCTGCCAACTTTGGGCAGAGTGAAGGCCATGTGGCTACACCCTTTCCCTCTGGGTTCAAGTGTGTGAAGGGACCAGAGGAGGAGAGCGTTGGTGAAGAGGAGAGGCGCCGATTTCACTCGTTGGTGGGCAGCCTCATGTACGCGGCGGTAAACACCCGACCGGACGTCGCGTTTGCTACCGGGCAGCTGGCTAGGGTTGTGCAATGCCCTAATGAGGAGCAGGTAGCAGCTGGAATGAGGGTGGCCAAGTATCTTGGCCAAACACCGACCGTTGGGCTGCAATACTCGGCGGCGGCACAAAGGCGCCAAAAGGGCGCGGATGGTGTTGAACCCGGGCGTTTGTTCCTCACCGCCTACTCGGATGCTTCATATGCATCAGAACCAGAGGACATGACAAGTGTGGGAGGCTTCATATGCTGTGTTGGTGGAGGCCCAACTGCTTGGGAGAGCAAGAAGCAGGTTGACCAAGCTTTGAGCTCGGTGGAGTCCGAGTACATGGCACTCTTCCGTGCCGTACGGGAGATTGTGTGGCAGCGGCGTTTGTTGGCTGAATTGGGGGAGGAGCAGCAAGGACCTACCCCACTGTACTGCGACAGCCAGGGTGCCATTGCTCTTGCTAAGAACCCTGTGTTGCATGGACTCACGAAGCACATGAGGGTGAAGTGGCATTGGACGAGGAGCATGGTAACCGCGGGTGAAGTTGAGTTGCGCTACGTGAAGACCACGGGGCAGCCGGCTGACATGATGACCAAGAGGCTGGTGGAGCAGCAGCATTGGAAGTGTTGCAAGCCTGCTGGGATGGCTCTGAACTGAGAGAGCAACATATCCTAAGGCCAACAATCCGAGGGGGAGTTTGTTGGTGCAACCCTACGGTTTGCACTCGGCTTGTTGTCCGTGTGCGTGAATGTGTGTGTGTATGGAATGGTATGAGGGCATGGGATAATATATATTTCATGCTTATAATTGTGTGTGAATGTTGAGTCATGATGTCGAGTGTGTGTGTCGAGTCAATAGCGAGTTATCGCTAGACGCGTGTTACGCGGTCGTTTGTGTCTCGCGCGCGGTTTCTATTTTGTCGTGCGCGGTTTCTATTTTGTCCTGTGTCGAACGTTCGGCGTGTCGCAGGTGTGTGCAGCAGACCCATCAAGAACTCAAGGATGAGTTTGTGATGAAGAGCCCGAGCCTTGGTGTCAAGCCTCAAGTGATTTCGAAGCTTGCCAAAAGGGTACACCTCAAGATATTGAAGATAGTTACATTACTTTGTGTAGTGTAACATTTCACTTGGTGTAGGCCCTAGTGAAGGGTAGTTTCGAGACCCTTCGTGGTTGGGGACAGTGTGGCACTGTTCCAAATCACTGTACCTCGGCCCTTGGGGTTTGTAGGAGCTGGGAGTCATTCCCAACTCGTAACTCTTCCTATCTTGTGTTCTAAGACTATAGTGGCTGCCATAGTACCGTTCGTTCAAACCGACGCTGTGTCGTCAATTCTTTATCAAATCGTGCAATCTAAATTGCTAATTGTAGACGACGTGAAGACGCTCCAGATCCAATTTGAATCAGGTCATTTGCAGCTGTGAGAAGAACGCTATCAACGTTTGAAGCCGCTGTGCAGAAATCCGTCTGTGCTCTCTATCTTTCGTTTTAGGCACATTCAAGCCTATTGTGACTATAACAGTGAGTGCGGTGGAGGGCAAGGATCAAAATGACGGTCATAGTAAAAAACGGGCCGTTCTTTACCATCGGTTTTTACGGTCAGTGTGGCAGAAACACGGCCGTTTTTTATTGGACTTTTTGTGTGTTTTTTTTTTCCCAACATTTTATAGAACACGACCTAGAATGACAAGGACCGACTGACAAACAAGCCTACAATGGCCTACTACCCTCACTAACTATTAATCTACTCCCCAACCCATCCTTTCCCCCACTCTATCCTCCTCCCCTCCTCCGCCTCTCCGCCACTATACCCCTTATTCCCTCTCTACCCCCCACTACACTATACCCTACTGATGATCCTCTTCTCCCTCCTCCTCGTCATCCTCCTCATCCTCTTCCTCCTCCCCACTATCACCATCGCTGATATCCCACGGATCAATGCCCCTTTGGTTCTTGGCGGGTGCCGCCTCCTCACGCCCACTGCTGTCCGCCGCCGGAGCCTCCTCCTCCTCATCCTCCTCCGCCTCCTCCTCCTCCCCCTCCTCCTCCTCCTCCTCCTCCTCCTCCTCCTCCTCCTCCTCCTCCTCCTCCTCCTCCTCCTCCTCCTCCTCTTCCTCCTCCTCGTCATCCTCCTCCTCCTCCTCCTCCTCCCCCCACTCTGCAGCTTTTCCCTTCCTCACAACCCTGCCAGAAACTTTGCCCTTGCCCTTCCCCTTCCCCTTCCCCTTCCCCTTCCCCTTCCCCTTCCTCTTCCTCTTCCTCTTGGAGGACTCTCCCGGACCCGCCTTCCTCTTCCTGCTCTTCTTCCCAATGCTACCGAACTCCGCCCAGTTAATGGTGGTGGTACACTCTTCCTCCTCTCCCTCCACTACTTCAGCCCCCTCTTCCTCAACTTCTGGCGCGACCGGGGGAACGGGGCAGCCGTCCTTGAGTGTGCCATCGCTCAGGTCACGATACAGGTTCTCACGCACAACCTGCCTGCGATCGAAAGCCTCACGTGCCCGCCTGGTGAACGCCACAAAGGTGACGTCAGTCATCTTTGTGGCGGCCAGGCGGTTCCGGTCCCGCCTCTGCACACGAGCAAGGGCGGACCAGTAGCGTTCCACCTCAGACGAGGTGACTGGCTGTGATAGGGTCATCACAGCCAGCTCCTGTAGCGCTTGGACCTCACCATCAATTCTTAAATAATCTCCCTGCCTATCTTTGCCCAAGACGACTCTAGTCCCTTTGATCTTCTCTCTTCTTCCCATGTGTACAGTTGTCTTCCCATCCCATCCCATCCCATCCCATGCCTTTGCAATACCATACGGACACACAGAGCGGGAGGCATATCTGCCACACAGAGAGGGGCGCAACTTGCTGCAGCTGCTGCAGCACAGAGGTAAAGTGACCCAGGTGGGGACCTGAGGACAATGTGGGGTGAGGGAGAGAGGGGGATGGCATCCATGCAGTCAAACTGGACTGCGGTACAGCAGAGGAAGCGGAGCTGGGAGGCGCTGACACGTGTATTCAGATGTGGAATTCAACGGGAGGGATAACGTGAAGCAGTGGAAGCAGACGCGCAACAAGCAGCAGTGGTCACACGGCATCATATAATACAGTTTGGTACAGCTCTGCACTATTGAAAAAAAGAAGCGCACCATGCTCCAGTGAAATGACATGGTACAACATTAAGGCTACCATCGCACAACGTAGTAACTCCCATCATCCAAATTCAGCTGTAGTGAAAGAACCCACCGGTGAGGACGGCACAGGAGGAGACGGCAGGCTCAGCAATGTTGTGGCCGCCCAGACCGGGCAGCAGCGAGCCCCCCACGAAGGCGAGCGGGATGATGGAGTAGAGCAGCGTCAGCTCGCCTGCTCACGTCACATGCACGAGAGTATGGGGTGTTGAGAGCCAAGAGACTCCATGCCGGACTGTTTTTCATGCTGAGAATGGGTGACGCTTCAAAAGATGTGCCGTGGGACCAGCCGCACACCCCATTGCATCAGCACGCAGCAACGGCATCAGCACACAGCCCAATGGTATCCCCACGTACCAATGGTATCCCCACGTACCAATGGTATCCCCACGTACCAATGGTATCCCCACGTACCAATGGTATCCCCACGTACCAATGGTATCTCCACGTACCAATGGTATCCCCACGTACCAATGGTATCAGCAATATAGAAGTCCGTGTCGGGCGTCACTGCCTGCCCCTGGGAGCGCACAGCCACTCTCACCGGCTTGGCCCGCGCCTCTTCCGCTGTCATCCCTGGCTGCAATGGTGGCGGGTGGTGCAACTGCGATGCCAGGAACTGGGGCAAGTGGGAGAGGCGGGATGGAGGGAGTGTAACAGGGGTGGGTGGTGCTTTTGGGAGGTCTGGGGCTACAGCACCGGCTTTAGTGGTGGCGGGTGGTGCTGCTGCGATGCCAGGAACTGGTGCAGGGGGAGAGGCGGGAAGGAAGAGGAGGGGCGGAAGGAGGAGTGCAACAGGGGGGGGGTGATTCTTTTGAAAGGACTGGGCGTGCCACAGCCTTGCGCCGCGCGGGAGGTGGGAGAAGGAGAGAGCTGGGAGGCGGGATGTGGAGAGGAGACGGCGGGGCACGACGAGGAGGTGAGAGGGTGGGAAGAAAATAAAAGCAACAGGGAGAGGGCGGAGGGTGCAAAAGGGAAGGGGGGAGAAGGGGTGTTCAAAGGAGGGCAAGAAGATGGGCGGATAAGCTGCTGGCTTCATGAAGATTCTCAATGACGCCCCTCACCACGAGGCGCACCTACAGATTGCCTCGGAGGAGGGCAGAAAGACGGGCAGACTGATGCTGCTTACCGGCGGGCTGCCTGTGAATCACGAATGGCCCCTCCTCACCTTGCCAATGGCCGCCCCTCTGCTTGGGTCGCGCGGCACGATGACAGTGAGCAGCCCCGCCACTCGGTGCTTCAGATTGCGATGCACGCGCAGGATGGCTGGGGGGGAAAGGGGGGTGGAGGGGGTAGACGGGGTGGGTCCGTGCGAGGCATGTGGGCAGGCGGAGGTTATGATTATGAGCAGCCCCGCCACCTGCAGGACGGCTGGGGGGGAAGGGGGTGGGGGGGGTGGGACGGTAGCCATGTGGGGAAATGGAGCTGATGAGGGGGGGAAGGGGAAGCGAGCAGGGATATCTTTTGTGGATGGAAAAAGCTGATTCACGAGTGGGGAAAGGGGGACGGGTGTGTGGGGTAAGGGAGGGAGATCTCAGGACAATAGGAGGATAATCTACAGGGCACCCAGTAAAGCTTGCACGCGTTCGCCCCATGAATCCATGTCTCTCTGCACGCGTTAATACACCGCATGCTGACGTTTGAGATGTCTCAAAGCCCCCTGGCTCATGTGTGCCAGCCACACATGAGCCACGCATGCCGCCAGCCACACCCGCCGCCCTCTGACTTTTGAGACGTCACAAAAGCCTCCCGCTCACCGTTGGCCTCGTGTGCTGTTAGAGTCACAGATTCATCCCATCCAGGTCTTTCTACACACGTCTATCCACCACGTCTCACCTTCCTCCTCGCCCGCATGTGTGCTGGCAGCCAGCCACACCCGCCACCCTCGCACCACACGCCTCACCTCCTCCTCCTTCCCTCCCCTCGCCCTCGCCCCCCCTCTCGCCCCCCAACTCTCCGCCTCCCCCTCCCTGCTGCTCCTGCTGCTGCTGTGACTGCTCATGGTCGCTGCAAGAAATGGAGAGCGGTTCAGCACAGTTCAAAGGCGAGCATGTTAGAGCTTAGGTTCATCAGAAGGGGGCAATGCAGTGCAATAGGTACTGCTGTGCTGGCAGGAATGGCTGGGCTGCTGCTACTGGCAGAGGGGGCATGGAATGGAAAGGAGAGAGCTGTTTCACATGAAGAGGGTGCTTTGAGTCCAGGAAAGAGTAACCATGGCTGCCACATGAAGGGGAAGAGCAAGCGCAGGGTGATGGAATGCATAACGCTGGGCGAACAAAGGAGAGGATGGAGAATGAGAAGTATGGGAGCGAGCGGCACGTAACCCTGCCACCATAATCCTGTACTGTGCACGCATGCAACCATTCAACAACACCTCACACAAACACTCCTGCAAACGACCGCACCCGGCAAGACCAGCAGCAGCAGCATTGCAGCATGGCAGCAGCACGGCAGCAGCATGGCACGCACCGAACTTGAGGTTGCCAGTGTAGCGTGTGAGCATGGGGTTGGCGCCCAGGCGCTGATACCGTAGCCCCTGCTCCGTGCTCTGCGCTCCATGGGGGAAAGGATGGTGTGGGGGGGAGAGAGGGGAAGTGCGGGAGGGAGTACGTCACAGGAGTGAAGGAGAGAGAACATTAGATGTGAGACAGAGATGGGTTGGGAGGGAGACAGGGGGGCACGAGGCGACAAGGCATGCATATGAACAAGGAATTCGAGCGAGTGATGTGCGTGCAAGTGATGTGCGTGCAAGTGATGTGCGTGCAAGTGATGTGCGTGCAAGTGATGTGCGTGCAAGTGATGTGCGTGCAAGTGATGTGCGTGCAAGTGATGTGCGTGCAAGTGATGTGCGTGCAAGTGATGTGCGTGCAAGTGATGTGCGTGCAAGTGATGTGCGTGCAAGTGATGTGCGTGCAAGTGATGTGCGTGCAAGTGATGTGCGTGCAAGTGATGTGCGTGCAAGTGGAACGCCTGAGAGGCACACATCGGCTGCACAACGCACGTGAGGGAGCACTTCTATCAATGCTTAAGGCACCTCAAAGGTCGCATGTGAGGGCGCATTTATATCAATTCCCAAGGGCCACACGCATCCGGTTACAGGCGCGTACAGTGGTGGTGATGAGGGCGAATCGACCAATCATGGCGGAGACGAGAGGGAGGAAGAGCCCATCCATGGCGTGCCACCTGTCAAACGTTGATTGGGTCATGCGCGCGTTGAGCAGCGCAATGGGCACCTGCATGGGATGGCGGGGAGGCGAGGGCACGCACGGACAGAACCTCGGTGCGAATTGTGCAGCAGCTGCTGCTGCGGTCAATTGATGCGCCTATTTCAATCAGCAGCGGGTGGAGGAGCCACATACTTGGAGCAGGCGCGGCGAGAGCAGGAGGTTGGGCCAGAGCTCTTGCTCCATGAACACCGCCGCGTTGGGCTGCCAGTGCACCAGGAAGCGCTCCACCGCTGCTGGCGCGTCCACTGGCGCTAGCTGCAGGCGGGGCAGAGCAGAGCAGGGGCGAGGGGGAGGGGCGAGAAATGGAAGTGGGATGCGAGGCAGAAGGAGGTGAGTGTGAGTGGTGCTGCAGCGGTCATGCATAACACGTGTCTTTCTGATCTTCTGCATGCCTGGCATGTCGCACCTGTGGCATGTGGCTCACGAGGCTTATGGCACACGTGGCATGTGACCCATCTGACATCTGGCAGACGTGGCATGAGGACACACCTGGCATATGACATGCGTCTTGGAAAAGGCTTTGGAGACAACCGACCTGCCATGGGGCGAAAGGGGGAGGGACGCAGGGGAGGGGCAGAGGGGAGACGCGCAGAGGGGAGGGGCGCAGGGGAGGGCGTGGGGGAGGGGCGCGGGGAAGGAGCGTATGGGAGGGGCGCAGGGGGAAGGGGTGTATGGGAGGGGCGCAGGGTGAAGGGGTGTATGGGAGGGGCGCAGGGTGAAGGGGCGTATGGGAGCGGCGCGGGGAAGGGGCGGCAAAATATGCAAGGTAGTTGCAGGAGTGGGGAAGGAGCAAGAGCGTGAGAGGGAAGACACAAGGGAGCGGTCCTAGGGGGAAACGAGGCAACGCGTTTGAGTGGACGCAGGATGATGCGAAAGTGAGGACCCAGACCAGATGGGTGGACGCGGGAGGAAACGAGCAAGCGAGATGCAGAGGCCGGTGGGGACGAGAGAGGAGGAAGGAGGGAAAGGGAGAGGCGGGACGAGGGGAAGTGGGGTAATGAGTGGTCGAGGGGGAGGGGAGGGCGAGCAGGCGCGTACAGCGCGAGGGCGTTGCGGGTGGTGAAGAGAGAGGAAGGGATAGAGAGAGGGGGAGGGCAAGCGGGGGTACAGCGCGAGGGCGCTGGGTGAAGAGCACTTTGAGGCGCGGCCGCTGCTGCATGCACTTGCGCACCAGCGGAACCGCGATCGCGCTCTCGCCTGTTGGGGGGGGTCAACGCGCAGAGCACGACGCGAACGGGGCATGACGAGCGGGGCAAAACGGGCGGGCAGGAGGAGGAGAGGAGGGTGAGGTGCAGGATAGCACTGTGAAAGGGCGAGCAACGACGAAGGAATCCGGCGAGAAGGGGAGTGCGAATGCGTCGCGTCGCGTAAGCTCTGAAATAGCGGTCAAATAGGTGTGCTTAGGTCGGGACTGACGAGGCACGGTCGAGAGCCTACCCACAGAAACAGCATGGAACCACAACAGAGGCCCATCCGGTCGCTTCGCCGAAGGTACGCCCAATTGTTCCCGCCATCTGCTCCCCGCGCCGTCCAATCCCAGCAACGCGCGCTGCCACAGGCCCATCGCCACCAATGGCGACGCGACGCCTGTGGCTACTTTGTACGCGCCTTGAATTGCGGCGCCTACTGCGGCGTCCGCCATTGCGGGAGTGACGCGTGCAGGCGGCGCGAAGAGGCGAATCTGTAATCGCGTCGCTACTGCAGGCGAACGGGACGGCGAGAACGGTGAGGGCAGCGAATGAGGGCTGTCAGGGTAATCCCGATAGTGGCGGTTGCCGTGGTGGTGGCGGGAACCAAACCACGGGGATTGTCTGATTGTGGAGAGGAGCAAAAATCAAGCCTAGAGAATTCCATGACGTGTGGACAATACCGACAATTAGTAGCATGTGGGAATCATTTCCTTTTGCTGTTTGGTGTATACACTCTGATACAGACTCTACTTGAACTTACCGTAATGCATTGTTTGGGGGATAACTGTGGTGCCTTGCAGCAGAAACATTTCCTAAACGGGGGTTGATGGAAATAAAGATTCTCTATACAAAGAGAGCATAAAGAACTCGGGCATGTAGTGATGATTGTTCCTGTGGCCGTACCACCAGCTTCAAACGAGTTATGCTGAGGCTACTCTCAATAATGGCGATTCTTCTTGTGGCTGTGGAACCAGCAACACCATGGCTGTACTGTACTGAGCATCAAAGCCCAGCACAGCACCGCTCCGCTGTGCCTTGCTTAGCACTGCCAATGAGCACTGCTCAATGCACTCACTGCACCCCACCCCTGTACAAGTTGATCCTGCAATGCCTGCTGTGGTAACACGGGAAGGGATCGCAGGTACATGGATGGATGTGAGGCATGCCTGATGAGTCAACCACGCATGCCAGTAGCGACAAGCACATGTGGGCTCAACACATGCTCGAGTCAGTGTAGTGTGGAGGTACACCCTAACAACCATGACAATCGCAGTGAACCAAGGGCACCAATGGCAACCGCAGGCAACCAAAGGCAACCAAGGGCAATCTCAGGCAATCAAAACTCTCCATGCCATACTGATAATCGCACCTCCCTTTCTACCCCACACCCAGCACCACACCTAGCACCTCTCTCATCCCACCCTGAAATACGAATCCACCAACAATCCTGCCAAGCCTTGTCGCACCAGACTCGCCACGACCCCCCTGCGCCTCCCATCCCCCCTGCGCCTCCCATCCCCCCTGCGCCTCCCATCCCCCCTGCGCCTCCCATCCCCCCTGCGCCTCCCATGCCCCCTGCGCCTCCCATGCCCCCTGCGCCTCCCATGCCCCCTGCACCTTCCCCGTGCATACTCATGCACGTGTGACTGAACTAGGAGGCCTCACTGCGCGCGCCTGAGGCGTCATGCCAAGGAAAACTCGCTGCAGTCCCCCTGGGCCCCACACGTCAACCCCCATACCCCCCCCCCCCTCTCCGCCCCCTCCCCCCCTTCTTCCCCCCCTCTCTGCAGGCGACTGACCTGAGGAGGCGTCACTCCGCGCCCCTGAGAGGCGGCGGCGGTGGCGTCATGTCATGAAGGACTCGCCGCAGCCGCACTCCCCCTTGGAGTTGGGGTTGACGAACACAAACTCCGACCTGCACAACCCCCCCCACCCCGTGCATGCCATTCGCACAACGGTCGGTAGAACGTAGGAAAAGGGCTCGGTTCGGGGCAACGAGTGATCTCGGAAATCACAGCAGCAGGTGGTAGCTAAGAGGGGGCGCGGAGCAGCAGGGCACAAATGTGAAGAACGATGATGAGAGGTGCAGATGAACAGAGAGAGGGGGAATGGGAAGGGACAGGTGGGGAAGGAAAAACGTGGCGAGGGGAGGGGAGGGGGAGGGGAAAAAGAGAGGAAACAGAGGAATTCGGAGGGGGAGAGAGAAAGGAGGGGTGCTTGAGAGGGGGTAGGGAGGGGTGCAAACAGCAGCATGGGTTTGGAACGCACTTGAGGCGGTCGTGTACGAAGTCGACGGTGGTGCCGATGACGGCCATGAGCGCCTTGGGCTCCACCACCACTCGCACGCCCTTCTCCTCCACCACCTCGTCGAACCGCCCCGGCTCGTCTGCACACCGCCGCGCACACACACGGCAACGGGCAGAAAGCGAGTGAAGCCGACCATGGGACACGGAGAATGGGAGATTGAGGCATGACGAGCGGAATGGCCTCTGAAACGGAATGACGATCTGGTGTGTGCATTTACGCGTCATAAGCGGCAAGAACGGAACGACGTACGGAGAGGAATTTACGAGCGTCTTCATCTGATCTGCTAAGTTAAAGGCACGACACCGCAAGTGACCCCTAACGCGCTTCCCCTGAATCCGACGAAAAGCCATGTCCTTGCGCCGGTACGCGCCGTGCGCTTCCCCTGTCCTTGAGAGTGCGAGCGCGCGGCGCGTACCGGCGTAGGAGAGGGTGTAGCTCATGCCGCTGCAGCCGCGCGACTTGACGCCCAGCTTGAGGTACTCCTTGCTGCGCCTCGTCAGCAGCTCGCGAATCCGATCGGCCGCCGCGTCCGTGAGCTGAATCACCTGCCGCCGCGGTGCGCGCGGCCGGATCGCTGCCTTGGCGGCGGCAGCGAGAGCCGCGGTCATGACACGATGACGACTGCGCTGTGCTGAGCGAAGCTTGGTTGCGTGACTCACACGGAAAAGCGTTCCGGTCTAACGGGTAACAGCTTATTGCTAAGGGCGTCGGTTATGTAGAACGGCTCCACAATCAACCCACACGAGCTTTACACAATTGATGTCGGTGGTTGCGATTTTAACTTTAGGAGGCACCCGAGGCCTGTGTTCACTTCGTCAGCTCTGCAGTCAGGAAGCGCAGGAGAATCGAGAGAGCGAGCAAGACAGGATTCATGCACCGTTCCTCGAGACTACCACCGTTGCAAACCAATTTATGGATCGATCTCGTTAGGACGCGTTACAGGTGCACGATCGATTCGTGCTTCGCGATCATGAACCGAACTGGGAACCGTCATGACGTCAGCCGGCAGAACCATTTTTGCGTCAACCGTGGTACATAGCATATACGGTAAGGACTTTTTGGTGGTAACCAGACTCGTTAAATCTCGCATGACGTTACGCACATCACCTTGTGACGTCGCATATGTACCGTAACAGAGTGGAACCTTTTCCAACGGAACGGCGTTTCATAATTGAACGGACGTCTCAACAGTTAATGTCTTTGGTAATTGAATTGAAACTATACAGTGTCGATCTGCCATTGAACGCGACAATCAAGATGGTTTGTAATTCTAGTTACATAACATATATGAAGGGTAACACAAATGGGGCTCGATAGCGCGTACAGTAACCATTACAATGTATTTTCACGTGTTTTTGTAACTAGCTTCCCGCGTTTGGTAACCACACACTGGCAAACGGCCACACAAATAGTAATCAGAAGAAACACACGCCCAAACGACCCTAATTTTGTCAAACTATGTTTCTATGTTGTAGGCTGTACTGGGGTAGCCTCTACTGAGTACAACTCTTTAAGGTTAGACATTGCCCTACTTGTACTCATCCTTGCCTCCTAGTCATTCATTCCTGTCTCTTGATTCTGACACGGTTTCAGAGCAGTAGGTCCGTAGGACCGTTTTTTTTTCGGGCCCACCTACCGCTACCCCACGACTGTGACTGTGACTGACTGTGCCTGTGACGTGCTGCGCTGCGCGCGCCGTCTGCCTCCTGCCTACTGTCTGCTGACTGTGCGATCTGCTGCTGCTTAGATCGCCTTCCTGGGCTGTCCCAACTTCGAAGTGGGGACACCAAAAAGTGCAACTGGCACGTGCAAGGCATTGGGCATTGTGATGAGGTGGAGGGGGAACGAATCTGGACGTCACATTGTGCAGACGCTACCAACGTGCGAGGACGTCGCATTTGGGCTACCCGAAACCCAGGGTCGTAAGGTACGAATCTGACCGTCGTTTTTGTGCTACCCTAAACCCAGAGTCGTATAGGCAGTTTTGATTGGTAGGAGGTTTCGCAATTTCCAAATGTTCGCACACACAAGGGTCGCTCCAGCACGTGAAAGCAACGTGAAAGGTGCCATGCTGGAAGGCTGTCCTGTCCCAACTTCGCAGGAAGGCCATCTTAGAGCGCGCAGACCTAATTCCTGCGCGCGGCTCGTTTTTTGCCCACCGCGTCGCCCACCCTGCCCGAGTCGCGCCTCGGCAGCCCGCGCGCGGCTCGCTGCTGCTTCGCGCGCCGCGTCTGCAGCCCGCGCGGCGCGTTGCAGCCCCGCGCGTCGCGACAGCTGCCCGCGCGTCGCGCTGCAGCCCCGCGCGCCGCGACCGCTGCCCGCGCGTCGCGACCGCTGCCCGCGCTGCAACCCACCTGCTTCTGCCGCGGCCGCGCCCTGCCGCCGACACGACCCCGCCCGGACGCTGACGCGGCCCCGCCAGCCCTGCAGCTGACGCGGCCCCGACCTGCCGCTGACGCGGCCCCGACCTGCAGCGGACACGGCCCCGACCTGCCGCTGCCGCGGCCTCGCCCTGCAGTTGACGCGGCCCCGCCCTGCAGCTGCCGCGGCCCTACTCTGCAGCTGCTGCTGCGGCCCCGCCGTCGCCGCCGTCGTGCGCCTACCCTGCCGCCGCCCACTGAGCGCCGGCCCTGCCTGCCACTGGTGAGCACCTGCCTTGTTCGCGCACTGCAGCGCCCTCTGCCTGCCTGTCTACCTGCCTGCCTGCCTGCCGCTCCTGCCGCGCCTGCCCTGCCCGAGCTGCTGCTGCTACTGTTGCTACTGTTGCTACTGGCGGTGGCCAGATGCAGCTCCAGCGACGCCCGCGCGAGTCTCTCACGCCTCAGCAGCTTCGTGAGTGGTACGCTAGTTGGGGTTGTGGCGGTAGCCGTCGTGACTGTCGCCCTGGAGCTGGTCGGTCGGGAGCGTCTGGCAGTGGCCAGCTGCAGCTGCAGCGGAGTCCGCGCGAGACACTTACGTCCCGGCAGCTTCACGAGTGGTACGCTCAGAGTCGAGGGTCTCGGAGTACCGTTCGCTGCCCGTACGTCCCACGCACAGGTGATCGGCTGGTCAGGCTTGCGGGACAATTGGTCACACCCAGTCCCGCTGCTTCGCCCGTCTGAGCGACGCCTGGCGCACAGAGTTTGGTGACGAGGCTGAGGTCCCCACCTGGCTGGAGCTTCTTGGGCAGGGGGTAGATATCTTTGCTCTTGACTATGATGCTATTCTCACTGCCATGTATGCATTGCCTACTAGTGATGACCGTGCCTGTTCCCTGTGCGTACCGCCTGACCCAGGTATAGAGGCTGCTGCTCTAGGTGCTAGTGCGTCTCCTGCGCTAGGTGCTGGTGAGGCTGCTGGTCTAGGTGCTCGTGCGTCTCCTGCTCTAGGTACTGGTGAGACTGCTGCTCCAGGTGCTGGTGAGTCTGATCTCTCTGGTACTGCGCCTGCTGAGGCCGTGTACACCTTCACACTTGACTCAGGTGCTTCCCGCTCCTTCTTTCGCGACAGCACCACACTCACGCCGCTCCGTCGGCCAGTTGCAGTCTCACTGGCAGACCCCTCTGGGGGTCCAGTCCTTGCGCACTCCTCCACGGTCCTGCCGTGTCCGGCGGTCCCGTCTGGCTCCCTGTCAGGTCTTCACCTCCCCTCGTTCTCTACGAACTTGGTGAGTGGAGCTGACCTACAGGATGTGTGGGTTGACCAGTTCACCCCTGGAGGTCAGCGTGTGACCCACTGTACGTGCTCCCGAACTGGTCGGCACCTGGCCACGTTCACCCGAGAGCCTGGCTCGAGTCTGTACACACTGACCACTGTGAACCCTCAGGTAGCTGCGTCTGCGTCTGCGTTTGCGCCAGGTCAGCTAGCGGCCCCCTGTTCGTGTCGCGCTTTGTCGCACCAGACCATCCTGTGGCACCACCGCCTTGGTCACCCCTCGGTGCAGCGCCTTCGTCGCACGCACAGCCGTTTCCTTGTCTCTGGACTTCCAGAGACTCTGCCTCCTCTACCGCCCTCGCCTGCTCCTCCCTGTCTTCCCTGTGTCGAGGGGCGGCAGCGCGCCGCTCCTCACTCCTCCTCGTTCCCTCCCACAGAGGCTACCTTGCAGACTCTCCACCTGGACGTGTGGGGCCCAGCCCGCGTCCGTGGACAGGGCCACGAGCGGTACTTCCTGCTGGTCGTCGACGACTACACGCGTTACACCACGGTCTTCCCCTTGCGCAGCAAGGGGGAGGTCCCTGATGTTTTGATCCCCTGGATCCGCGCTACTCGTCTCCAGCTCCGCGAGCGGTTCCAGTCGGACTTTCCTGTCCTGCGTCTGCACTCTGACAGAGGTGGTGAGTTCTCCTCAGACCTCTTGGCAGCCTACTGTGCGGAGCACGGCATCCGCCAGTCGTTCATGCTTCCGGCCTCTCCGCAGCAGAATGGGGTTGCTGAGCGCCGCATTGGCTTAGTCATGGAGGTCGCTCGTACCTCCATGATCCATGCGGCTGCCCCCCATTTTCTGTGGCCGTTTGCGGTCCGGTACGCCGCGCATCAGCTCAACCTCTGGCCCCGTGTCTCCTTGCCGGAGACCTCGCCCACACTGCTGTGGACGGGGAAGGTTGGCGATGCGTCGCGTTTCCGGGTCTGGGGTGCTCGTGCCTTTGTCCGCGATACCACTGCGGACAAGCTCTCCGCCCGCGCTGTTCCCTGTGTCTTCCTTGGCTTTGTCCCTGACGCGCCTGGTTGGCAGTTTTACCACCCCACCTCGCGCCGTGTCTTCCCCTCTCAGGACGTCACGTTCGACGAGTCGGTTCCCTTTTACCGTCTCTTCCCCTACCGCAATGCCCCTCTCCCCCCCCCGCCGCTCTTCCTCGCTCCAGGTGCTCCCCAGGTAGACCCCCTCCCCGCTCCCGGTCCTGCTCCTTCAGGTGTGTCTCAGGTAGACCCTCCTCCTCAGGTTGAGGTCACTGGTGACTCAGGTCCTGCTGAGGGTGGTGCTGCTGCTGGGGGTGCTGAGCCTGGGGGTGCGGAGCTTGGGGGTGCTGAGCCTGGGGGTGCTGAGCCTGGGGGTGCGGAGCCTGGGGGTGCGGAGACTGGAGGTGCTGAGCCTGGGTGTGAGGAGTCTGGGGGCGCTGAGGCGTCTGGTGAGCAGTCTCCCGGGAGCGGCCGTCTCCGTAGTCGCTCCGCTGGTGCCTCGCCGCTGCACTCTCGTAGTCGACTCCCTCTCTCCCCACAGCAGCTGTTTGAGTGGTACGCTGGCCGTCAGGGTCGCGCTGCTGGAGCTAGGGGCCCTGCTGCGGGAGGCGCTGGAGCTGGTGACTCTACCACTGGAGTTGTTTCTACTGGAGGTTCTGGAGCTGCTGAGGGTGCTGGCGCTGGTGGCGCTAGCGCTGGAGGTTCTGGAGCTGCTGAGGGTGCTGGCGCTGGAGGTTCTGGAGCTGCTGGAGGTACTGGCGCTGGTGGCGCTGGAGCTGGAGGTTCTGGAGCTGCTGAGGGTGCTGGCGCTGGAGGTTCTGGAGCTGCTGCGGGTACTGGCGCTGAGGGTTCTGAGTCTGCTGTTGCGCGGTTTCCTTGGAGTAGCCGCCTTCGTCCGCGTGTGCCTCTCACCTCGCAGCAGCTGCACGACTGGTACGGTCGCCGTCAGGGT